CGAAGAGGTACTAGTCGCGATCATTACCTTTTATGCTGAAATGTCACATTCTTAGTCCCACAGATATTACATCTGGCATGGCTTTGTGGAAGTCAAGAAATGTAGAGATCCGATTGCTACATTTTCTGGTCATTGCCATCAAAATCTTTTCCGTCTGCCTTTTTCCAAGGCGTGAGCTACAGTTCTTCCCAGGTAGATTGTTGTTTTCCACTTGTTTTGAGAATCAACTTTTTAAGTGCATCTTCCTTAATTTTTGTAGGTAGTGAAGTACGTAAACATTACTCTGAAGTTGTGATAACTTGTGCTAATCATATAAACAAGTTATTGATTAAAAAGGCTATATTTCATTGAAAACATTATTCAAATAGCATATTGGTTCCCAAAAAACTCAAGATGTTCGGATTACTGTTGTGGGGGAAGTTGATGATGGATTTGAGAAAAGAGGGAGCATCATTCCCTGGTGATGCAGCATACTGGCCACTGGGAATCAGCCTTCTAGAAATAAGCTAAAAGGCACAAATCAAAAGCACAAATCAAGGTTTTTACTGTCCTGTGCAGGTAGAATATCATCTCTGGTGTTGAAGGCATGCGTTATAGGACAAGCTGCATCCGTTTCGTCTGTGTTATGCATACAGAAATGATTCCTCAAATGTCTGCTCACAGTGCAGTGGGAGGTCAGGGGGCAGGGTGAGGACAGGAGGGACAACACATGCTGCCGAGACTTGCTGGGCGTACAGAAGTGCTAACACTCATCCATACAAGAACAGAAGCCTGGGCATGAAAGCCAGCATTTCCCTCTGGACGTTAGTTTTGCATCTGCTTTGGTTTTGTTCTGGGTTTTGGTGCGGTGTGCCTGTCCCATCTCGCAGGGCTTTCCTCTGAAAGAGGACATGCGGAGCAGCTGGCCCAGCCCCAGGAGGGGGTTAATCTCTGCCCACATACTACCACTGCTGAGCCATGCTAATGAATTAACAAAAAGCCTGTTGCTTTTCAGGAAAGTGCACGCTTTACCAAGCACTCTGTAAGGAAAAATACTGCTGGCAGAAACACGAAGCCTTTTTAGAGAAAAAAGTACTGAGGCGCTGGGGGTTTGATTGCTTTCGGGAGATAATGAGCCCCTCTGAAAGCCTGACTTTGATACCTCCTCCTTCCTGGCTCATCACTTTTGTCTGTAGCGTCCTTACAGGATTTTTTAAGTAATATTAAAATACAAATTTACAAGTAAAAGACTAATGGGAACATCTTTATTGTCGCAGAGACTTTATTCATTTTCAAATTCGGTAGTTTTAATGCATACAATGATGGTGAGGAATGGGAAAGAAAATCATAATAAACTTTGGGGTTTATTTATGTGAATTCGGATTTGTAAAATGGTGATCGATCCATACCTCATCTTGTTGTTGCTCTGGAGAAATAGTTAATTTGGCAGAGAATGCTTTAACCACCCTGAAGTTCTTTGTTGCAAAGTATTCAATTTGTAAGCTTTCACAATATTAAATCAGATACTGCATGTAGAATTATTTTTAAAGACACTTAGAAATCAAGAGAATGTGTTGTCCTCTATAGACACCCAGGTCTCTCTCTCAGGCTAGAAAAACTAAAGAAATAAGTAATGTAGCTGTTCAGTTCAGTTACCACATGCTCCCTAAATCCTCTACAAAATTATAAATGGACTGCGCAATAAGCTAGATGGGTTTGTAAACTTCTGTTACTCTTTACGAAAATAAATGGGTAGAAGAGCAGAGGGGAGGAGGAAGCCCCTCCAGTAGTGCCCGAGAGGAGGTTTTCAGTGCATCTGAGGAAGTGCCACATCACGCTTGTTTGCTCTTACTCACCTTTGCACATGTGTTCTCTTGTTGAAGTGTTGGGAGGAAAAAAAAAAAACAAACACACACCTTTTGTGATCTCCATCCTGGCTCTGAAAATGTAGTTTTGGAGTGTGAGCAAGTGAACTGGTGCTTCTGCTTACCATTTTGAGTCCTACAGGTATGGGCTTTGCGGCATGGCGTGATGGAAACGCTGATGCTGTATTGTTGGGGGGGCTTGGTGCACCTGGAATACAAGGCGTTGTATCGTGATTCCTACGTCTTTGGGGTTGTTTCAGTTTCTCCTTATTTACAGAGCAGGTTGTTTTCCGACTCTTAGTTGTCAGAGCAGAATGAACTTTGTTGACCCTGATAAACCAGTTTTTACCACTTTGGAAGCACACAGAGATGTCGAAGGGATAGAAGTGTGGAATGATTATACTCTTCTTCATGACTCTGCTTTTATTGTCTATGGCTTGCCTGCCACGGAGGTTGATGACAGCTTTTTGGTTTAAAGGAGTCTCGAGGATCCTCTAAGGTGTAAGTAAGGGCTAAGCCAACCAGCACAGTGGGTCCGGAGGAGTAAAATGAGAGATCTTTTGGGCTGAGCGAAGTGGACACAGCTGAAGCTCTGACCGGCAGCATCTGAACTAGTGCAGGCAGGCTGGGGATTTGGAGCAGTGCGTTCCCGTTCAGCTGTTCTAATAGCATCGGCTGTGTAACGTGAACGCAGTGGGAGAGCTGGCAGCGGCAGCCCTGACTTTAACGAGTAATCCCCTGGCAGCGGTTGGACGCGTGGAGGCCGCAGGATGAGACACCCGGTTACGGTTGCTGTTGGTGCCGAGCGGCTAACAGCTCTCTGGTGCTCTGCTCACCGTACTGTGCGTTGTAACGAGCTGTAACTTCCCCAGCTGGGCCAGCCTCGGCGGTTAGAAATGCGAGGTATTCTTCTGAAACTGCAGATTCTAGATAAGATGATTTCACTGGACTAGTTCTCGTTTTGTTGAAGGTATTTTTATCTCATGTACATCCCTCAAAGTATTAGCCATCTGACATCATATTGATAGCAGAGAAAGCTGCAGATGCTATCTCTTTTCATGTAATAAAACTATCTTGTGTTGTTAACGTGCACTTGGATGACATAGTTGCTTTAACAAAAAGCTTCACTTTTATTAACGTGTAGGATTCACCTGTGCTTGTCATATAACCAGCTAAGGTGTCGGAACGGCTTTAAAACTCGACGCCTGTGTGTTGGCCGGTTAGTGCCATTCACTTACCCGTGCTGGGGAGCAGCAGTCTTCCTCTGCAGCGCGGGAGGATCCGCTCCCCCTCTGAGCCTCAGAAACAGCGATTGCTGCCTGTGGTCGTATGCAGAAAAGTACTTCATTTCCATAGAAGAAGAGTAAACCTATATATGGTTTTTAGAAGTTAATGCTTTTTTTGTTGTTGTTACTTAATCTCTAAGTAAAATAACAAAGAGAAAGGACAACTGGGGAGAGGAGCTTTCAGTGCATTTTCAAGCACAACTTTTCATGACGTAATAAAATCCGTGGAGAATTGCCGCGTACTCAAATGGTGGACTGATACTAGGAATGAGCAAAAGAAACTCATCGTTCTTTTGTTTTGTCTTTTCTTTATTTCAAAACAAACAAACAAAAGAAACCCAACCCAACTTTCTAGGGCTACTGCACGGTGCAAGTGTGGTCGTAGCAGCAGGATTGCTCAGACTGTATGTTACAGGAAAACTTTAAAATGTTTTAGAGCTGGCAGACTGGTTTGTGGTCTCTCTTGCCATGCTGCAATAGTCTCATCAGAGAAAGTTTCCTTTGTGGGGTAGGTTGACTGTTTCAGGTTAATCCCAACACACAGTGGTTCCCAGATGTTGACTCCCCTTCTGGAAAAGCCCGGTTCCATATCAGAGCACGTTTGTCCCCGATTTCTCCACGGCTCCTTCTTCACCAGTTCTTCCCCCAGCACTGCTGCGGTTTTCCTCGGTGAAATGCCCTCTCCCAGGGAGACCTGTGTGCCTGCAGGGCATCGAAGCCGGCACTGAAATACTGCCGTGCCGTGGCACTGTGCTTCCCGAATCTGTAACCCTCGTTGCCTGAGCACTTGAATTCTGTACTCTTGTATTTAGACACGGATCGGGTGTATCTTTATGCATTAGCTTGATGTACTGAAGGCACAAAGGTGTTAGTCTGGAGAGGTACCTGTGCTTTGGGCCCACGGGCTGGGAACACTTTGGGTGGCCTGTGGGTGGGTGGGAGTGCAGGAAGGATTTGCAGCATTGCTGGATAATGTGCAACTAGTCTAACAAAACTGGAGTCTGCTGTGACATATACAACAGCGATAGTTAAAATAGTCCAGTTTTAAGAAAGGAAGCTTTCAGACAAAAATTAACCTATGTGTCGTCTTTCTCAGGTACGTACGCTCTCAATTACCAAATACCTGATTTTATTTTTGTTTAATGTAGTTATTGGGTACTTACTACCTTCTTGTTTCTTGCATTTGTCTTGTCATAGCAAATAAAAGCATTATGTATGGAAAATTTAGATGCCAATTAATCCCTTACTGTTATTCAAAGAATTTCAGTTAAAACCTGAGTGCTAGAGATTCTAAAGAGCTTTGGAATAATTTCGGTCATTAGGAAGCATGAGGTATGGGGCTGCCTGTCATCTCATCATGCTGCTGCAACTGAGTCACACAGTAAAGAAAATCAAGCCAAATAGATTTGGTGGTTTTAGTTCTTCGAGAAGCTTCTTGCTTTTCTCTCCTGTAAACGGTGCTTAGCTGAATTAAGGAGAATTACTACGAACAGGGTATTTCTCAGCCTGCATTTAAAATGATGTAAAAGAATAAACCATAAATTCTTGGGAAAACATTCTGTGTTTGCCTTGTCCTCAGTTGGGTGATATGTATTCAGCACATACAGATAATTTGTTAACAAGGCCTTTTTAACACTTTGGACAGATGCGCATACTGTTTTCAATCTTCATGGTTAATTATTCGATTTTGTATTTGATGATAGAACACCCTGACTCCTAATCACTGCTCATTGTTGGAAGTCCATTATATTCTAACTGTTTGAGTGCTCCCGTTGACCTTGAACTGACATTATAAGCTGTTTCTAATCTTTTCACTCTATATTTCTAATGCTCCTTTTCTTTCTCCCCTCTTTGTCTGGTGCCCGTTTAGCATCACAATGGGGCTGCCTCTGAGCCCGGCCGCCGACTCTGCCCGCTCGGCGCGACACGCTCTCTCCCTCATCGCCACCGCCAGACCACCCGCCTTCATCACCACCATCGCCAAGGAGGTGAGCAGGGCCCGTCGCTTCGACTGCAGCAGCTTTGCCTCTGAGCTTTGAGGCTCCAGGGTTACGAACACAAGTAGAGAATCAAATGGCCCTCCCTTTCTCCTCAGAAAGGGAACCAGCAAGTGTAATACTTGTGTGCCTGCGGATGTCCAAATCACCCACCATTTATGACAGGAGTGATATTTAACTGAACCTGATGAGTTGTGTCTGTCTTAATTTGTTGTATCCCAGTTGTATAAACTTCCAACAGCAACCTGTAAAATCCTGTGGTCTTTAAGCAATGCACGCATGACCCCGTTAAGTATGAATTAAAAGGGAGTGGAGACTTAGCCGTGGGGTTTGGAGGGTGAGGAGAAGGGATGCTGCTGGGAGGTTGGTGTGGGCTGGGCACGGTCTGCCTGAGAGTCGTCTGAGGGAACCCGGGTACAGCCTGGAGCTTTGGCTGAGCTAAAGCAATAGGATGGGCGATGATCAGTGGCTGCCCAAAAAAAGCCTGTTGTAAAGCAGCCATCTCATGCCTAAAGAAACATCTACAAGTATGTGGAAATCGAGTACTCAAGACCCAGGGATTTCCTTACCTTCACATTTAGTTCTATGAGGTTAAGAATTACTTAAAGCAGGTAAGCCCTTGTTTAAAAACTACGTCAAGGATAACCGTTAGTGGCTCTACTGCTGATGAGTAACAGGGGAGGGAGAAATAATCCATAGGTCTCGAAGTGAAGTAAAGCAAAGCATTGTGCACAGTACAGACGTTCGTAATGTAACACATGCATATAACAGTAAGTGTAGATGGAGAATATTTAGAGAGTCCGAGTCTCCACCTGTAACCCTGCTCTTTGGTAGGTGCACAGACACACTGCCCTCGCAGCAAACACGCAGTCTCAGCAGAATATTCACACCACCACTCTTGCTCGGGCCAAAGGAGAGATCTTGAGGGTCATTGAGATACTTATCGAGAAGATGCCTACCGACGTTGTGGACCTTCTTGTGGAGGTAAGGCTCTTCTGCCATATCTGCTTGTGGGCTTGGTGCAACAGTGAATAATGTGTTGGTCTGGAGTCAAATCGTAGAATTTCTTTCTGCATGGACCATAAACCTTTTTATGTGTGAAGAGGGTTTGTTTTATACTGCCCGGCTCATTTTTTGAACTTTAAAAGCTTAAATTGCATTTAAATTGCATTAGCTTGCATTGTTGGGGAAAAAACCCAAGAAAGAATTTGCTGGAGGTACGGGTATGTTCATTGCACTGGTACTTGAACACGCTGGGGGATCACGTGGATGTTTTTATCTGGTTTTTATCTACAATGGGTTTTTTTATTTATAATGTTTTTTATCTCTTGCATTTGTTGGTGCTGAGGAATGTTGTTGAAGAATGGTACAGATGACATAATGGATTTGTAACTTTGATACTGATGCCCAGAGGCCTCTTTCACACCAGAGCTACTTATAGAGCTCCAGTAGCTTGTGTTTACCGGTAGTTGGTTGTTTTATAACTGTTCATGGGTACTCTGAATGGTTCCAGTTACCGATACCATTGTTTTTGTAAACTCTGTCATACGCAAGACAGTTCTTTGTTTTATCCCAATTGTATTTTAAACTTAGATATCAAAGATGCAGTTGGGTACAAAAATTCTCAATTTTTGCTTATTAGAACTTTTATTAAGAATCGTAAAGTACAGTACATCAAATGATTTTAACTTTTGTTTCGAGGTTATGGACATCATCATGTATTGCCTTGAAGGATCTTTAGTTAAGAAAAAGGGTCTTCAGGAGTGCTTTCCAGCCATCTGCAGGTGAGCTTTTCCTCCAATAATACTATGCAGTAAATTGTAGGCTTACCAGCAGGATATATTTCTTAAGAGTGAAACAATCTTTTATGTGATGCTTGCCCCTTAAAACAACAAATTTTTTTTTTTAGCTCACGTATAAGCCTTTGTAGGCTTTTAGTTCTCTGCCACATCTGATAGAGAGGTGGATCAGAAAAGAAAAGCATTAACAACTCCTTGAAGTTTGGATATTTTATAAGTCCAAAAAAAAAAAGAAAATATTGTGTAATCTCATGAAAAACTCTGTCCTCCTATCCCTCCATATATCCTAGCTCCTCTATTGGAACAGCCACACAAGCTGAGCAGCTTCCTCCAAGGGATTTATCAATGTCTTTGTTGTTACAAAAATGACAATCACATACTGGAGTAACAAGTTAGATTGCAATATGCACAACCTGCCTGAGTGAATTAGTTGCCACCATCAAAGTGACTGGGGGAAAAAAGAGAATAGTGACAGCAGAAGATAAGGCTGTGGTTTGGGAGGTGTGGTGGTGTTCCCAGACACCCCGTACGGGGGGCTTGCATCATGGGGGTTTGCATCAATGCCTTGCAGCCGACTGCTGTCCGTTAGTACGTTCAGACCAAGCCATGAGCAGCCAGTGTAAAGTATGCGTTGGAGTGAGATTTCCCAGTGTGCTGAGACCCAGGGCTTGTCAGAGAAGGAGCTCTTCACTTGTGTTTCAAGGTCTGCTGTCAGCAGCACAGTCCTTCAGCAAAGCATGTTCTCATACCAGGAGTTCAGCCAAATAGCAAATAAACTTTTCATTCTTAAGAAGCTTAAGCCTGTTCTCTGAAACATCCTCTAATGGAGAATTTTGAGAATAACTGTTATTTCCTTTATGGCAATAACTAACTGCTGTAATCCACCTAATAGCTAGCAGTAGGGCATAGTTATCGGAGGAGATCATCTCCTGACCAGGCGCTTCCAAGTCCTTCCGAGCTGTTCGCACAGGTGTGTAGCAGTGCCATCCCGTAGGAAAGGTCAGTGAAATGGAGATAAGAAATAGAAAGTACCAAATGCCTTCGTGGAAGAGAGCCTTGCTTTTGCTGCCCTCTGACGCTCTCCCAGGCGTCTGTCTCCAAGGGAGCAGGTTGTACTCCAAACCTGTTGTAGGCAGCAACTAGCACCCTTGCCTGCGTGGCAGGAAGCTGCCCTGTCCCCGGTGTTAGAAATGTTTTGGGGATGCTTATGCTGGACGCAGGAGATTCAATTGAAATTAAACCTCACAAGGCATTGAGAGCACTACTGGTGGCTCAGAGCTGCCCTGTGCTCTGCACCACATGGAACCGTCTTAGGCAGCGTTTAAATCTCTCCATCTGCGGTGACAGGCGGCTCGGTAAAATAACAAGTATGAATTCGCACAAAACCGCAGGGAAGGAGAAGTGCGGTGGCTGTCTTGTGCTCGCGTTGTTGGTGACTCGGCAGTTCGGAAGGCATCGAAAGGCACAAGTGGCAGTTCAGATGCTGGTTCCTGCTGACCTTCATTGGGGGTTCAGCATCCTCAGTCGTCTTTGTCTTGGTTCTACTTCACACTTTAAATGGTACTTTCAAATAGTAAAATGTGATTTATAAAATGGGAACATTTACAGTATCTTTAGACTGTGATAAATATCCCAGTTATTCTGTTAAACTGGTACAACCAATAAATTATAATAATCATCTGTCGACCATTACATTTTAATTTAATAAGCTATTAAAATATTGAATAGTTCCAAGAAAAGAACAATTATCCTGTTGACAGGTAGGATACTGATAGAGGCAGTCTTCCTGATACTTTAAAAGGCTTACTTTAAAATATAAATGCAAGGCTAAGTGGGAATTAGTGCAAAAATCTCCCTATTCCTGTTGTATTTTTATAGTGATACGTTATCTTAAAATGTTGTTAAATTACTAGTAGTATTTCCTATTCTACATAGTTATAGCCATTGTAAAAATGATACAGCACCCCACCGATGTGATCATTCAGCCCAATGGAAATTTTCATCAGATTTTAGCAAATGGTTGAATATCTGGAGAGATTCCAAGTGGAAGCACTGTGACATAATCCTATTGTTAATTCTTTTAATATCCTGGTGCTCTTTCTGCTGTACTGCATTATGTGCACCCCTGCTGTGGCAAAATCACTCAGGTGATTCTCTGGCTTCCTTGGAGGACTTTATGGAAGTACTGTACTTGTGGCTATAACGGCAAACGTTTGTTGATACCTCTGCGGTCTCTTGGAAGCAACGTTCCTGTTTCAGCAGAACATTAAACCCAGGGCCGGGAGCAGCAGCGTGTGCTGAGTTAAAGTACCTGATTATCATTTCTCTTGGGCTTTCAGCTTTTTTTACTATTGTACAAATGTAGCAGTCATGCCACTAATTGCTGTGAGCGTGACTCAATCCTGATGGGTGGTGATGAGGTAAATCCATCGCTGTGGATATTTTTGGCTATCATATCTTACGGCATATGATTATGGTGTCTGTTAGTTTTCCCATAGTGTTATTCTTTATAGAGAATCATACTGCCTTTTCACATGCTCTGTGCAAACCCATTTCTTATCAAAATAAAATAAGTATTGAAGTGCAATGCAATGAATATGAAATATTTCTGAATTTCTTTAAAATTGCAAAGGATAATATTGAAGGCTGCAAAATTGCTTGACTTGAGCATTTTCCAGATTCAGGAGTTGTGTTGCAGCTGAGTGGTCCCTGATGGACTCTGCTTGGTCAGGTCATGTATTTAGTACAGTCTGCTGAGTTAGAGCGGTCTCTGTAACGGCACAGTCTCACATGGGAAGACACATTAAATTTAAAATAACAAGTGTTTTATATGGCTTTTTGCTCGGGAATAGTCTTGCAGGAAGAGTGAGAATTTCAAGAATTAGACAAAGCAAGGTTGTACAACAAAATTTTATACCTTGATTATTTCTGGGATTTTTGGAGAGTATAACTGAAGGAATCGGAGTCCATCAGCTGGAGGTGCAGTTGTGGTAATGCTCAAGGGAGCCTGGAGCCTCATTCTGTAGAAGGGAAAGAAAAAAGAATGAAATGTGAAATAGGACTGAATGTCGAAATTATAATTCGGAACGCCTGTGGCTGTTGCAAGATTCTGAAGTTTGAAATTAAGATTTAATGAAGCTGTGATGTTAATCAACAAATTCTTTTTAATGAACATTTAACGTTCCCTTTTTGTGCTGTTTTTGATTTAGAATGTTAATTTTAAATAAAAAAAAAGTTTTATCTCCCCTTAGATACTTCAGCAGTGACTAATTCAGGTTTTAGAACAGTTGGTGGGCCTTCACTGAACCACAGCGTTGCTGCCGCTGACTTTTCCAGTATCAGCCTAAACCCAAGCCAGCCCCAGCAGTCCCATTTCCAACTGGCAAGTGTGCTTGCTGGTATTTGGTAGAAGAAGAAAGCTCATTTTCCTAAGTCCTTAACCCAGCTTGCTTGTGCCGAGTTCCCACCCTTCAGTGTGGCATCTGGGTGGTGAGCCCATCGCACGATGCCAGCTTTCTCCCTGCTTGCAGCCTTTGCAGCATGTTAGCCCCGCATCATCTGGCTGGTGACTTGTGTTGCAGAGGGCTGGAAGGTGGAGTGGAAGAGACTGGTGAGGGTGAGGAGATCAGCAGGAGGAGACTGGACCCTTGTTCTCTTTAGGTACCCAGTTTTCATTCAGAAAAGTTAGGAGGGAAGGCTATGTGCTCCTCCTTTAATGTGGAGGATTAGCTGGTACCAGCAATAGCAGCACGATGCTGTCGGTTCCAACCGGGTTCCTCCAAAAGCTGGGAGAGGTGGTGTGCTGGGTGAGGTCACTTTCTCTGCAGAGCAGTAATGGGGCAGCACCCAGAGCAGGGTCTGTTAAGATGCCGGCTACGGATATGGATGCACCAGCTAGGCTTGCAAAAATGAATTTGTAGCATAGTCTAAAGACATGCTGACATATCATTCTCTATGATATCTATTCTCTGCAACATATAGAGGTTTTAGAAAGGGTTGCAAAGGACTAAAATATTAAAATCTGTGTGTGGTTGTAACAATGCTAAGATAAAGAATGAGGCTAAAGAGCTGACAACTGAATGTCAGTTTAAAGAATAATTTTTTTTAGAAAATTAAACTCAAAACCATCTATTTCCTTGAAGCTTTTTTTGCCCAAACCCTCAGTTGTTATGTAGTCTGATGGATTCTTCTTCTCAAAGAAAAATACTGACTCAGCACTCTGTCTAAATGGACATTTAAATGCAGTAAGGAGTGAAATGCTGTTTGCTTACATATAATAGTATGTGATACTCTCTTTTGAAATCTCTTGGAGGAGACAAATGGACTGTGCCTATTCAGTAGTGTGATAGAATTAATGAGGATATGAAACATTTTATATAGAAACTTTCTGTTGTAGTCCATTTTACTTGTAATGATCAAGCAATGTGTGGTTTTTTCTAAGTTTATACATAAATCCTGAGTTTGATGGTCATATAAAATAGCCTTAAAAATAGCCCCCTCCCCATTCACCTGGGGCACCACTTTAATTGTGCAGGCGTTTGCAGTTTGGCATGAAATGGTGAAAAATGCAAATGCTCCCTTATTACAGTCCCATGCCTTATTCGCTGTGTATGGTGGGCTTTAGACCCTGCGGGTACCTGTTTGCCCACACCATTATCCCTTTTCTTTTTTCGTTTTTTCTCATGACTGGCTCCTGCCTCTCCTGCTCCCAAGCTATTTACCAGCAGCGTTTGATTTTTTTCTAAGCATTCCTTTTTGTATTCTTAATAATAAACCAGAAACTATTCTTATTATTATTCACTAATAAGTAAGTTGTGTGGCCACCACTGACCAAAGGAATATGTAAAGCAGATTGATGAGGCACTTGCTGGCTGCAAAATAAAGTCGCAGAGATGGTATGTGGCCTGGAAATACTTCCACATCCCAAGATAAGGGAGTGTTAAAAAGCTGCCCCTCATCCTGCTTGTACACTTTGGGAAGGGAGGGTTCTGCGCTGGCCGCAGTGCGGGATAGCACGTCTGATGGGCATGTAGACTTTCACGAAGGTCTTCGCTGTGTTGGCTGGCCGGGCCAAGTGGAGTAAGAGTTCGATAAGGAAACAACTGGTGCAGCCTAAGTAGGTTTGGTCTTGGTCTTGGTCTTGGTCTTGCCCTCTCAAGTGGGGTTTACTGGCAGAGCTGCCAGGTCTTTCATAGAATCATTATGGTTGGAAGAGACCTCAAAGATCATCAAGTCCAACTGTATACCCAATGCCACCGTGCCCGCTAAACCCACTAAACCATGTCTCGAAGTGCCACATCTAAACGTTTTTTGAACCGATCCAGGGATAGTGACTCCACCACCTCCCTGGGGAGCCCGTTCCAATGCCTAACGACTCTAACAGTGAGGAAGTTCATCCTAATGTCCAGCCTGAACCTCCCCTGGCGCAACTTGAGACCGTCAGGGTCAGCGCCTTCCCTTTGGTCTTGCTGGAAGCCTCCGGCATCCCTCTGCTGCAGCACCTTCTGCCGTGCAGGTGCCGCTGGTGAGCCTGGGCGAAGGCACGGGGGTGTGGGTGCTGGGGGCTGCGGCGTGGCGCAGCCAGGGGACAGTGCCTCGGGGGGGGGCCTCCACGCCTCTGCCCGCACTTTGCAAGCAGGACGTGTCCCTGCACCCTGCCTGGGGCAGCAGCCCCGCCACCAAAGGGCATGGGGGCTTGCCCGAGGCTGTGGGTGGGCAAGGGCAGGTGTTTTGTGGGAGGTACCCCGAGAGTCCAAGGGCAAAAGTGAAAGCGGCGAGCCGGGGAGGGACGATGGGCTTGGCTGATGTCCTCAGGGATGGATGGACAGGGATGCAAAAGTGCGTCTGAGCTACTAGTCTTGCCCTTTCTCCTGCACAACAACTAGCAATTTTCTTTCTTTTTTTTTTTTTCCAGTTTTTTTCTGTAACGCCATGTTTCTAGGGTTTTTTTTTCTTCCTGACTGCCATCCTGCACTGTAGAAACAAGTGTATCATACCTATATGAGAGCAGTTGCTATGGCACTCTGGGAATCCTGAAGAACAAGGAGACAGATCATTGTACAATTTGTTGTTTGAAGCCATAAATATAGTCAGCAACACATTTTTATAGACTGATTCTAGAAATCTCTGGCAGACTTTGTTGTAGTAAAATATAACAGTAAAATTACAATTTAATTGGAAATGCAGTTGGCATTTTTCACAGGTCTGCTCTCCCTTTTATAAGAAAGGCACAACGATATTCCCAAAGATTTGAATTTGAAGTAAGGATTTTGACTCTCTTGTGTTTCAAGGTGTAGAAATTTCTTCAATTTGCATTTGTTTGAATTCAAATTGATGCGATACAGTCACGTTGGACCTTAAGGACTATTGCAGGCTTCTGGGTTCCTTTTTGCTTGAAGGATGTTATTGGCTTAGAAAGCATTTGATGAATTTTTCTTTTTCTGTTTTTTCAATCAAAAATTTATGAGTTTGCATATTTTTCCCTACACTTTCTGTCATTCTTTCTCATTTGATTTTGAAGGAAAAGTGCTCTGAAGTCATTTGGGGTGTTAGATTGTCCTGTTTAACCAGTTGACATCCAGCGTTGTTGTGGTGCTCCACTGTAAACAAGAGATGTATATGGATACTAGGGGCCTCGTGGTTATCACATCCAAACTCAATGGAAGTGTTCAACACTGTGTAATAAAAATAAATAAATCTGATCTGATTCTGCGGTAATGTATCAAACGTCAGTTGGCTTTGTTTCCTGAATGCCAAGTATGAAAACTGGCAGCTGATGGATTTTTAAATCAAATCTCTGTTCTAGCACTAATGTTAATTACCCAATGGCATTGCAAATTAATTTTAACATCGTGCAGGCAGGTCAGATCTCACCTGTTACTTGTTATAATGTTCAATTCAGGTTCTACATGGTCAGCTATTACGAGCGGAGTCACAGAATAGCAGTGGGAGCTCGCCATGGTTCAGTGGCCCTCTACGACATCCGGACTGGGAAATGTCAGGTAAATAAATCATTGTGACTTCCTCCCCATAAAGTGTGGAAGTTATTGAAAGGAAAGAGCAGCGAGCTCTGCATCAGTTGACATGCTGAGCTGCTGGAACATTATGGATAATGCTGAGGGGATCAATAGTTTAATGAAGGATTCAAAGTATATAGAGCCCTACTGTCTTCATTCACTGGAACTGAATGGGTGCCACAGATGGGTTAATAATGAAAACCTAAAGTTAGGTGATACCCTTGCTCTGAAATAAATGAAAAATCTGATTTTTAAAAGTTAGGGTTTATAGCAGTATACTTATCTACTATAGAAGTCACAGAGAAAATCCACTGAGGTTTGATTTGGGTTATTTTTTCTAAAACTCCTCTCTACAAAATGCTATGATGCTTATGTTCAAGGTATTTACAATTATCTGTGGTCAAATAAGATACGTATTTTCTTACCAGTTGCCAGTGACCTAGAAGAGGATATACTTAAAGATAATGTTGAAATGAGTGCTTGGAATTAAAAATGTTTAAATGGCAAAGTATTTTCCTTTTCAGAAAAGTTCATTGGTAATGTTCTTTGTTGTTTCTTGTACTATTTGATCAGCTATTATTTCTTACTGAATTTCAATAGTCTTTATGTGTAAAGCTTGGATAAAATATCTGTACTTTGAATCTGCCTTATTATTTTCTTTGTTTGTGCAAATATAATTTTGTTGTTGTTGTTTCTAAAAGCTGTTATCTATAGTCCTTACAAAATGTGCATTATAGAGAAGGTAGTATAGATTTCTTCCTGCTAGGTTGGTTGGCAGAGCCATGTGCTTAGGTATACATGGCTGGTTCGTTTTCTGTTCTTAAATTTTGGGTTTTATTTCCCAAATCTAGCAGCATTGTATGTTCTGGTATTTTTTGTTTAGACAGCTGTCTTATGGAAGCTAAGATGGCCAGATTTATTTTATAAATAGCTATATAATGCAGGCAAATAAGAAATATGGACTGCTCTATCTTGTTTTAGCTTAAGTCATTTGGATCATGATTTATTAATTTCACTGTAAAATGGGTCCACAAGGACTGCTTTCCAAACACATTTCCTTGATGGTCTGGGCGAGGAGCCTGCGCGTGTTGCATGACTTTTTTTCCCCACCTATTCAGCAGCCAGCTTGACAAAGCAGCTGAACATCTGCCACGGGGAGACACTGACCACAATGCCTTCCAGTGGGCATCATCACACTGGAAACGGAGAGTGCAAGGTCCAGAGAGGTCTGCGCAGTCTTGGCATCTCAAACTAATAGTGATTCTTGATGCTGTTGGCGAGGAGGAGGTGAAGAGCACAACTGTACACTTCCTTACCTCTGTGTTTTCAGAGCGCAAGGAGAGTGGTGACAAAACCCATCCTTCCATTTAGCAGCAGCATTTAGCCAGTGCTGTCATCTTTGCACTTTTAACTTTGTCTAATACATACTTGAGCTGCTGAGCTGGCTCCAAGGTGAGCAGAGGAGTTTGTTAGCACCTGGGGTAGCTCTGGCCTGCCTGGCTTCACTGTGTGAGTTCTGAGTGGGTCTGTGACACGTCTTCCACAACCTGGTGATCCGCAGCAGTTTTGCAGAAGCCCAGAGGTGCTGGTAGGCAGGACAACAAAGCATGCTTACAGCTCCAGCTATGTCAAGGGTAAACCTTCCATGAAAATGAAAGGTCCGTGGCCAGCAGGACCAGGGCAGTGATCGTCCCCCTGTACTCGGCACTGGTGAGGCTGCACCTCGAGTGCCGTGTTCAGTTTTGGGCCCCTCACCACAAGAAAGACCTTGAGGTGCCGGAGCGAGTCCAGAGAAGGGCAGCAAAGGTGGTGAAGGGTCTGGAGCACAAGTCTGATGGGGAGCGGCTGAGGGAGCTGGGGGTGTTTAGCCTGGGGAAGGGGAGACCTGATCGCTCTCTACAACGACCTGAAAGGAGGGTGTAGTGAGGTGGGGGTTGGTCTCTCCTCCCAAGTAACAAGCGATAGCACAAGAGGAAATGGCCTCAAGTTGTGCCAGGGTTGGTTTAGGTTGGGTATTAGGAAGAATTTCTTCACCCAAAGGGTTGTCAAGCACTGGAACAGGCTGCCCAGGGAAGTGGTGGGGTCACCATCCCTGGAGGTATTTAAGAGATGTGTAGATGTGGTGCTTAGGGACATGGTTTAGTGGTGGGCTTGGCCGTGCTAGGTTAACGGTTGGACTCGATGATCTTAAAGGTCTTTTCCAACCTAAACAATTCTGTGATTATATTCTATGAAAACCACCCCTCTGGCTTGATTTGCCCTTGGTTTGGCAGGTGTGCTAAAATACCCAGTTTTTCTCTTCTTGACTTCTTCCTTTGGTTCTTTTAAAGCGGATTCTGTGTAATTACCGCCAGCTGTTTGCAGGGGATTGTGCCTAGCTGACGTTTGACAGCCTTTTCTCCAAAGCGTGCTCTCCTCCATGTCAGCTGACAGTCTGTTCTTCTCTGAGGCTCCTGGAGCTAACTCCAGATCTCTGCCGGTAAATTGTCCCAGCGATTCGCTGGGTCAGGTCGATGTGTCGGTGAATATTCACAGCGCTTGTTTTCTTACTTTCTTAATAAGCCTCCACATAGGTCATGGAAAGCAGAGATGGGTATGACTGAAGGGACTTTCAGGATAATTAGTGCAGGTTGCTTGGCAGATTTTATTATTATTCATGAGACAGAAAAATTTGGTGAGTGCCAGATGTATGATTATTGGGGGGCAACGCCATCTATTGGATATAGGTTTCTTATTCCAAATCTGGTCTTTTAAGTATTTTCTCACAGCTGGAGATTTCAGGCTGCTCAGATAGACGTGAGATAATTCAGGATTGTATAGATGAAAAAGTTTTGAAATTGGAAAAAAGCTCAAATTTTTAATTTACCTTTTTAGAAAAGTTAAAGCCTTTCAAAACATTTATCAAAATATTTTAATTGCCGTGGTATGTTTAAATTGAGCGTGAATTAGGACACGTGGCTGGGGAGTATCCGTGAGGATCAGGGCCCTGCTGTAACGCAGAGCGAGAATGGGGTGAGCATCGCCAGTGCCGGGATGGCAGGCTGGAGCCCTTGGCCGGCCTCCCTCCCTCCTCCTCTCCTCTGGGGACCTTTTCCCTTTCTGTGCTAATTGCTGCTTCGTTTCTACCAAGGAAAATGTTTGTCTAAGGCCGTCATCTAGTGTAAGCTCATTCTATTTCTTTCTGTTTATGTCTCTTGAACAGTGTTACCAGAAATGCACTATCAAAAGATTGCTGAGTCGTTCACTATTTACAAAAAAGATGATTCTTTGAATCGTTTCCTGAAGCCATGAACACAATTTTGCATTTAGTAAATTTGTCGGTGTTTTGAAAGTAGAAGTTTGACATACATATGAAAGGTTTATTAGTTGCCCCGTCACAACTCACATGCAAGCTGATTTGAGTCAGACATCAGAATTACTTACTGGTATAAGAAGAGGGGGAACTGCTTTCCCCTTCCTGCCCCCCTCCCCCATTTATACTCATCATTAATTGAGATTAAGGCTGAGATAAGCAGCAAGGGAGAACAATAAGGGGGGGGTATTGCAGGTGGGACCTCCTTGGGACGTGAAGGCTTGTTCCTGCTGCAGCAGGCATGGCATCTTCTCTTGTAACCGCTCAGCAAGTGCTGTCTGAAAAAGCCTTGGGTTTCTCAACACCCAGAGGAAGGTTGTTCCAGAATATTGATGGGTTAAAATATCAAGGGTTAGAAATCTTCCTTTTTTAATTCCCACACCAATATAGTTATGACTGTCTATGTCTTTGTGCCACCGTTGACCTTTAGCTTAAATAACCAGTTCCTCTCCTTGGTTTTTACCCTCCTGCCTTATTAACGCTCACTTTCAGCCTTTGTTTTGAAAGCTGAAAAGAACAGAGGACTCTTAAAAACTCCTTCTCTGTAGTGTACTCTCCGTTTTTCTTAATCCTCCTTAGGCAAAATATTCATTTATGTTCTGGGCTGCATACAGACTGACTTCAGTGTTTATTCCAGTCTTACTGCTGAGCTTCCCCAAATCGTCTTTCCCTTCTCGCCTCCTGTGAAACCACACAAAAGCAGAACTTTGAAAGGCTTTTTATCTGCATATTATTTTGCCAGATGAAACTGCTCGTCAAAGTGCACATTTTTGAAGTGTCCCCGTTGTACCTCTGTGTGTTCCTGTAATGCAGAACCTCCTCTTCTCCCTTCAAGTTTCTTACTTGCTCCTGATGTATTTTTTTGGTGGTTTGTCACCAAATTACCACAAAGGCTGTCCCTTAGTGCAGGCTGTGGGTCCCGGGTTGTCGAACCCCCATGGCTCAGGAACTCACGTGGGGAGGTGCATCTTTGAGGTTTTTCTTTTCTTTCACACCAAAGCCAGTGTAAACCATCGCCTTCTGTGGTCCCAGGGAGTATCAGGGAGCAGCGGCTGTGAAGAGCATTTGGGAATAAAAGCTCTCCATCAATGAAAGCATTGTAGCTTAAATTAAACCTTGGCTTATGGCACAAGGTGTTGTAGACAGCCAGCATCCTTCTCCTGTGCCGAGGACCTGCGTGTGCTGTCCTGGCCCCGCTGACACTGGGGCTCGGCACGCTGTGGTACCGTCGGGATGTCACCCGTCTCCTGAGCAGGAGGGCTGTACTGTGCATGGTCCCCCAGCTCCGTCCCGGTGTCTGTCCAGATCTGCTGCCTCTGCCCATCACCTCTGGGCTTCACAAATGCCTTTGGAGAGCAGCACCAGGGGACATGCTGGTAGCATTAACGAAGCAATGAGTTCAGTACATCATGCACGTATAAACCGGAGTTAGATATGTGGTCGCTAAAAAACGTTGTTGTTCATGTGTTTCAAAAAGCTGAGTGAACAGTAGGTCTCTCTGAGCTCACCCCAAGGTCCCCATGCTTACCTTTCCTGAAAACGGGCTAGGGTAGTTTTCTGGGCTTGGTGTGCAGTAGAGGACCATGCTCCAACAGCCGTCTGACTGACGGTCCGGAGACTGTTCAGGAGGGCA